TCAGAAGACAACTCGAACGAAGCCTTCGCAGTGATCGGGTAGTTTGCTCCTCCCAACGCGCCTTAAAAATGGAGGCCGCCGCCCTCACAGGAAACACCCGCAAATTGTTTCAGCTCATTCGGACCACTGGACACAGGAGGTCTGGTATCAGCGAGGTCATCTGTGAGTCGGACGGGTCACAAATCACTAGTTCGCAGAAACGCATGGACAAATGGGCTGAGCCCTTCCAGTCTCAGACCATTTGTTCCTTTCCATCCACCTCACTCAGTACACCCAACCGGATGCCATGGTTAGCGCCACTCGAACCACCAAACCGAAGCCGTTTGTCTTGAGATTCGTCACTTGAAGCGCTTCAAGGTAGGTGGCTCAGATGAACTTCCCCCATGTTGTTCAACTACGGCGGTACAGCAGTCGACAGGCAGCTAACGTCTGTGTTTCTGAAGATCTGGCGGGAAGAAATGGACCCTTCTTCCTGGGGAGAGTCATCATTCCTATCTTCAAGAAAATTTATCACACTTCGTGTGCCAATTACAATGGCATCAGCCTGATCTCTGTTGCCTCTAAGCTACTAACATCCATCATGCTCCTCAGGCTATCCTCCACTTGTGAGTCACTCTACCGGGAGGAGCAGGCTGGTTTTCGCCGCAGTCCAGGACGTGTGGATCAAATTTTCACTCTTCACCAACTCCTAGAGTATCGTCACTTCTACTGCAGATCAACCATCGTCATATTCCTGGGTATTCGGGCTGCGTTCGATTTGGTAGATCGACCTGCTTTATGGAACTGCTTGCTGAAGAATGGAGTTCCGGGAAAGTATGTCGCTATACATCGCGCGCTATACCTCCATACTTCACGCCGAGTGAGAGCCTATGGCACCTCTTCTCCACTCTTCCCTGTCACCAGTAGCGTGCAATAAGGATACCCAGTGTTACCGTTTCTCTTCACTTTTGCAATCGAAGATGTCCTTTTGGTAGATTTAGAGGACTTACAGAACTTTCGCATCGAAATTCTTCCAGGTGATCGCGCGACCGACTTAGACTACGCTGACGATATCACCTTGCTCGGTGACGACCCTCATGGGATGCAATTGATCATTGGCCAATTGGTGATTGAAGCGTCTAAGTATGGTATGCGCTTTGCTTCTTCCAAGTGCAATGTTCTCTTACAAGACTGACAGGCACCCTATCCCCGATTCACCATCGAATGCAAACAGCTCGAACACTTGGATAGTTTTGTCTAGCTAGGCAGCTTCGTTTCTGCCGACAGCAATATTCGTGCAGAAGTATCCTATCGTGTCGCTAAAACACAGTTCATGTTTGCCAACTTAATATATTTGCAGCGTCGTCGCGACATTTCACTTTTGCTAAATAACAGAGTTTACAAAGCCTGTGTGCGCGCGATATTACTGTACGGATGCGAATCCTGACCGATCCGTGTGGAAGACATGTGTAGTCTCTCGGCCTTTGACAGTAGCTGTTTGAGGAGTATTGCCAGCATATGTTGGCAACATGGAGTACGCAATGACGGTGTTAGACACCGTGTCTTGGGTAAGGCGGATGTTCCTCTTTGGGATGTCGTCCGGCTGCGTCAATTGATATGCTTTGGCCATGTCTTGCGCATGCCTAACGAGCGCTTACCACGCCGCGCACGCAGGATAACTTTGGAAAAGCCCGCGTTGGCATCAACCATCCACTGGCGACAATGCATGAAATCGATGGCATCTTGCCTGACCATCGCTGGACCTTTGAGAATTACCGACAGGGGACCCAATAATGAAGAACGCCAATCGCTCGCAAAACTGCCCGCAGTAGAATCAGTGCGCACAAGTCTCCTTAATCTCACGTTTACAAAAAGCACTAGGGCTTAAAAGCACAAAAAAAGTACAAAATGTGATGTGTAAAACGATAAAAAAGTTGTTATTCCGTTTTTTCATACTTCATCAAATTATTTTATATGTTTGTACGTTTTATTGTTCCCTATTCCGAATTCCTTGATTTTGAGTGATTAGATTATATGGTTGGGTGCATCCGGTTTCGGATTTGCCTGTCATTGTGACCAGCCACAGGACGCCTGCGGCTACAGAGGGACTATGGGTGGCTTGCGCTGCACCACCCACAGCTCCATCCACACACCCCATATCAAGTGTAAACCCGAAGGAATAAGACCGGGAGGCATGCGGATGGGAGTCACATTTCATCAACGGAGCCGGCCCACACTCCTTCACAGGCAAACACAAGCACGCTGTATTTGAGGAATCAACCGCACACAAGGCGGTGGCTGTACCGTAGTCCGCTCCACACTGAGTGCATGGAACCGCTCTTTGAGCCTAGCACGGCCACAACAACCGTGCACCCCGTCCCCTCCAGCAACGACCAACTGTCTCCTGGAGCCAGTATGAATGATGTAGTGGGTAATAGACAGGTAGGCACCTTGTCAACATACACATCAAGCGCAACCATATCAGCGATATCAAACAACAGCCATTCACTTTAAACGACAAGCTGAAATAAAATAAATCCAATAATGCATACAGATACGGTGGCATAACTCTAAGCTAACTAAGCATATGAAGTAAGTTGGTTAGCAACGAATCCGTGATAAGTAAAAAATGTCCACAAGTTAGTTAAAATGCTACAAACGCAACAAGATTACCGAAGATAAGCGCAATTAGTGTAAGCAACGTGGCCAGTTAATAGAACATAATTCAGGGAGACAGAAGAAACCAAATAAAGCGGAATGAAATTTATCCAGCTTAAAAAGACCTAGTTTAAGTGTAAGTTGGTATAGCCCAACTGCGGTGAAGAAGCATCAAGAATGCAACATCAGCCTCAGCATGGGGCACACATATATATATATATATATATATATATATATATTCGCACCCAAACCTACTGTCCTATCGTACTTTGTTGTTATTCTAAGGTTGTGAGTCGTAGCCACTGGACCAACCGCACTTCCCTGCTCCGATCATAGTTGTTCGACTGAACTGAACTAATTTTCATTATGAGTATTAAGTCTAGCACACCTGTCGATGGTGCTGTGCATTCTCCTATACGGCAGCGAAATCTAGACATTAAAATATAGAGGCTACATTTCAGGACATGATCAGTGTGAGTTTAACACGTATTAATGTGGAGTTCAGGTGTTGGCAATCAAAAACATTTGAGTGGCCCCAATAGCTTGCCCACATAAGGAATACAGTTGCTCAACTGCGTGAGGGCATCTTACTGCATCAGGAAAAAGGCAGGTTTTGGAAACAACAGAGGCCGATGGTGTTTAGCACATCGACGTCAAGTGCACGCTGCTGTAGCACAAGCGGCCGCGACTACCTCAGTCAAGCCGGCATGGCAAGCCACCAGCATGGCCACGGGAGGCCAACATCCAAAAGAAGATAAGTCAGCTGAATTTGTCATAATCATTAACACAGGGCTGCTTTCGTTTCTATTCCAGTTACTTACCTAGACCAATACCGCGGTCGATATGTCACGTGTGATACATCATGGTTGTTGTTTCTCGGTACCTGTGACTGCCTCTGTGCTGATTTTCTTGCGTTTCGAATGCTGGCTTTTGTTTGATATTCTCGGCGTGACTGCGCCTGATGTGAATGTTGACAAAGTGCCCACAGTTATTCGTTGCTTGGACAGACACGATGCACGGTCCTCGTGACCGTGATAGGCTCAAGGAGTGGTTTCATGCATCCGTCGTGAATCGGGCTAGGGCGCTGCCACCGCCTTGTTTACGTCTGGTACGCATGATTCACCAGTTGGAAAGAATGCTACTGTGTATATTGATAGAGTATGGGTTGGCTCCGTTGATGAAACATGGCTCCTATTTACTCGCATCTCTGTCTTATTTCTTCGTGTTTACACTGGACATAAGGTGTGTGGATGGATCTGTGGGTGACGCAGCGCAAGCCACCCATGGTCTCACTGTAGGCGCAGGCATCTTGTGGCTGTCACCGTGGAGGCCATAGTGCGAGGTAAATCCGGAACCGGATGTCGCCAAGCATCAGCAGATCTATTTTGTTTGGTTACCCTTTGAATTTGACCATCTGTTCTAGCAGTAATAATCAAACCTGTGTAGGGCAACGGAGACGATTGTGATTGTCGGCTAATTTTTGACAACTACTTATGTTCCGTCTGCTTGGCAACTGTGATACGCAGTAGCGAGCAGCTGTAATGATAGCACGTTTCTTAGCTGTCGCAGTCGAGTGGTTGTAGACGCATCTCAAGAATATGCAAGAAGCTCCCGCAAGCACCTACTTTTTATTTTTTTGTTTTGAATTACTGTTATCGTGGTGACGCAATTCATGGCGACTAGATCCTTCGGACCTCGACGTCGGCCTATAGCTGAAAGGATTGCGCGCCTGCGTTGTAATCCCTTGGGTCATCAGTTCCAATCCGTGTACGTGCGGATGACCTCTCGGTATGCCCGACCGTCGCGCAACTGGTGGTGATTGCGTGGCACCAGAGTCGGTACGGTATGCCGGCTTAATGCTGATACTACTATTTATGATGTGGTTGTTTATCTTACCTTGGCAGCACATTCTTCTTTCCATGCTTGTGTGCTCACTTCGGCATGTTGAAACTGAAACGTTTCTCTTGTTATTCATATCTAGTCTATTGAACCGTGTTTTGCATGACTGTTCTTCGGGCTAACTTTTTCAATTACTCTGCACAGTTATCTCACAGACTCACCTTCGGCTATGCATGTGTAGAAATGTACGCGTTTTGTCCAAAGTCTACTATCCTTTATCGACAACATGTTAACCCCAAGATGATAGGCGAATGTTGCGGATAAGTCCAGTTACTTCTAACTACCTATTATTTGTCACCGCCCGACGTCGCCCAAACCCTCCACTATCCACGATCTAACATTTCCGCGGAAGTGCTCTGGGCCTATAATAAGATATCCGGATCTAAACTAGTGCGCATCCCATCCCATCCTGAGCTGTCACTCCTCTTTGCCTTATCGCCTTTTACCTCTTGTATGCTTATCAGCGCTGCTCGTGATCATTTGGACGACCTGATGAAAAGCGATTCACAGTTTCTACGGCATCAAATATCCGCAGAACGTCAAGAGAGAGCAGATCTTGAGAAATCACATCAGCGGGAGTTAGATGAAGTGAATGCTCGTCTTGCTTCATTGAGTGACATAGTGCAACAACGTGATCGAGAGGTCGCTGCTCGCGATAAGCTACAACACGAAGTAGCGCAACTAAATGCTGAGTTAGCTGAGGTTCGGGTAAGTCTGCTCAGCGTTTCACTCGGACGCCTATTTTCATGTCATTTACCGTTTTTCCGCCACGCGTGTGCATCTCAGACCACAAATCAGCCAGTTTTTCTTATGGTTCCTTCTTTAGAGCAAGTTGTCAGTATCAGAGATGGAGGCAACTGAAGCCCGTGCTGAAGTGACTACTTTACAGCAGCGTCTGGTATGTCTTCAGACCGATCTGGATAACGTGGAATCCGTTCAGGCCGACTTTGTCCGACTCTCCCAAAACCTGCAGGTACTGAAGCCGACTTATCTGCCACTTTCTTTTGTTTGACGCATCTGTGAGATGATTGTTTTTCGATTTCCCTTATACGATTGCTCCCTGCAACTGCTCAATAGTCATTGCCACATATATATTTTACAAAACTGCATTCGTATTAGATGATCTTTCTTCAACTACGAATCTGTTACTTTCAATACCATAAAGGGAAGATCCTTTGTATAGCATACTCTTACATTCCATTCTTCTGCTATCCGTCACCTGATGCTATTTATATTATCTAACACGGCTGCCGTTTCCCGGAGACCCATAGGTTACATAAGGTTTGAAATAATTTGAATCTAAGCATGAGATCGTTTTCTTTCGTTTATTCGCTTTGTTCCTGGGAGATTTCGCACAGTTAGACCGGTAAATGTGTCTGAAGGCATCAGCTCTGCTAGAGGTCATTTTGGACGAGGTTGTCCAAATGCACTGTCCTTGTGGTAACGTAACCTTGTTGTTGTGGCTTTTAACCATGTTTTTTTATTGCACAGTTTGTCGTCACTCTGTTTTTCTGAAGGTGCACTGGTGATGAAAGTTAGCTCGACCCGTTGTTCCCTCTGATTTGGCTTGTATTATTTGTAATTGTGCGCGACTGCAAGCTAGTTGGAGTGGAGTGCTCACTTCGTCGTTACCTAGTTCATCAGTTTTCTGTCCTTCAGCGCGCATCTTTTATCCATGCACGTTAGTGTAAACCATTGTGGTTTTCTAATCCACAGATTATCCTCTAGACTTTCGTTTAAGTCTGTTCCGCTGTAGATTCGTAAGTGACCGGCTTTGTTTAGTTCTATTTTGCCTCCGGTTCCGTCCCTCCTTTTTCTTGTATCTCCCCTCACAGATTCAGCTGGAGCGACTACGACAACAAGATCACGAGGTTCGATGGATCGATCCAGAGGACATAACTACTTGTTCCGCTTGCGATACTATTTTCCCTTCCGGTTCAGCCGGTATTAGTCAGAAAGCAAACTGTCGGCACTGCGGCAAAGTTTACTGCCCCAACTGTCTGCAAAATACTGCCCCGTCAGGTCCCACCGGCCGACCAGCCAGAGTCTGTGATTTTTGTCATACGCTACTCAATAAACACGTGGCTCCCTACTTTTCCACTGGATTCCACCGGGATTCTTCAATAGGCACACAATCCCTGACTAGATCTCCAAGAAGCAGTATGTATGCTTCGAACTTGCACTCTCCGAAACAATCTAGTTGTGTCAACAAGCCGGCAGATTCGCCCACTTCCGACAACACATGACCTGCATCTGTCCGTCGGCCCTGTGAGTTAATCGCCTACACGGGTGTGCCTCCTCACTATCAGTGCTCGCTCTCACACACATTTTCGCACACATTCCCCAACTGCGTCCGAGCACTCCCACTTCTTCCTACCATCACATCACGATCATGCCTGTTTGCCTCTTCCATCAGTTTCTTTAGAACGGGCCACATACTTCCTTTTATCATTCTGTCTCAGCTCAATAATACTTCCTGTTGCCCCCACTTCGTCTTTCACCGTTCTCTTTTTGCTTTGACTTGTGGTTTTGCATAGGCGATCCACTTGCAGACCTTATTCCATGACAACGGATTAATCGGTTTTTTCTTCTTCCTGGTCAGTGAACAGCACTTTGCGCCAACTCGCCTTACTTGTTACTTATGTATCAAATGTATTGGTCAAGTTGTGTCCGTTTTTACCCAGTTACTTCTCAATGCCACTGTAATGGGACTGCCTTAGTGTATCTGAGATTTACATCATAATACTTCATTCTTTTCTTGCCCACTGACTTTTCAAAAGTTCGTCAACACTGATAGACAGTTTATGTCCCATGAAACGGTCCACCAAAGATCATTCCCTGTACTCATTACTTGAATTTCCACACACGCCGACACAATCGACACTATTAAGCAGGAACCGAACTGCCCTACCTTTACTTCTTAGCTCGGCTGTAGAATGTGCACCACCTAACCACTTTCTTGTTTCTGTTGGATTCGTATTCTCGATCTTAATTGACCCCAAGAGCGTAGTACTTTGGGATTGCTACCATCTTTAATCTGCGCAGCTTGGAGTTCGGTGGGTCTCAGTGATTACGCACAACTTGACTGTTTACCCTTCATTTTTCATTTCACATCCAATGTCCGTTTATTACACTCTCAACCACTGCGCGAACGACAACTTCTACATGGACCCATATTAACCGGTATTTCTACTGGTAGTTCGCTTCTAGGTTGTTGTTCCATTCTAAACATGACTTTCAGACACTGAGGCTACTGTGAATTCCCCTTTTGTTGGTGCACCGGTCGATACGAGATCGCCATAGTTGTCGTTGGAAGTAGACAGCTATCAGTATGAACAGGCCCCTGCCGCGGATAGATGCAGATTGTATGCGATAGCACAATGAGCTTTGCCAGTGTCTTTTGCAGGGCACATGATCATTTCATTATCATACAGTTGTCACTAACAGCGATCGTGAAGCCAGTTTTGCTGGCTAATGCATTTCATGTATGAGAGATGCTACTCAAACAGGACTGTGATGCGAAGTATTTTCTTCTGCTATGGATTTACACGTTGTAACTTTCCAAGTCAAGTCAGAGTAGACGTTTTGCTCCTGGATACATCCATTCTCAGCATTATTACCCCATCCCTGCGAATGCGAATAGATGGAATTTACAAAAGCAAATGAAGTGTATAATTGAAAATGTCCACGCATATCTGTATTATTTCTGTTGGTGATGCGGATTACCGATGCAGCTATTCGGACTACGGACCAACCACTTCCCAAATCAGAAGGCGAAGCCCTTGACAAAACTTTCATTTCAGCCCTGAAAAATACATTATCTTGTCAGTCAAGCTAGCGCTGAATATCCAGCCCAATAAAATCGATCTAGTGGACGATTCCAGGTTGCAAAATGATACTAGATGCAGGAAAATGCCAGTTGGCTAGCTCCAAGCGAACAGGCTTGTTATTGGCCAACTCTAACAGGAAGGGTGCTCTCACTGTTTGGCTCCCGGCAAATGATCTTCGAGGTGGCTTGCTCCGGGCTTCCGTTAAGGCTACCTGCATTGAATCAGGTTTACAAGCCTTCTATGAGTGGGATCCCTTAACGCCTTCTCCGCAAAAATTGATGCACGATATTATCTTTGATCCTAGCTGCCTTCTAACGACAGATCTCTTTTTTCGATCCTTCCAGCGTTGCGGTTGAATATTCGGCCCTTCTGAAATGTCTGCGAGATGCATCCAAAGTGTTCTGATTTTCAGCTTGTATATCGTAACTATCCAGAAGGATATACCACAGTAGCGATCGGTTCTTTGTGCCTCTCGTGATTCTGGTTAGACGCAGCTGTTTGGCATGCCTGGTCGATCAGCACTTATCCGAGTCTTCTTTGGATCAGACATGTCGTCCACTTGCGTACAATCGGCATGATTGTGTCCCATTTCATTAATCGTGGTACTTCTCCACTCTCAGGTCTCTTTTTTGTGAGGTATCGTACTTCGGAAGCAATAATGCTTACAGCGGATGAAGTTTTCTTCCATTTGCAACTGTATGGATGACAGCCGGTTCGGCACTCGGTGATTCGGTGTCGTTTGCTACATAAGTAGGAAAGCATCCAATGTCTTCTGCGTACTGACCTCTTCTCTCATTCTCAATAGCATCTGTCTAAACGTATCGACAAGTCGTTCTTCTTGATTGGGAATGGAACAGTGACGAGCGTTTATGTGTACTGCCATTTTGTGTGCAGTACTCGGCGAAAGAAGAAGGTATGAATTATGACCTATTGTCTGTGACTAACGTCTCTGACACTTCATGCTGGTTGTAAAACTTTTTCAGTATACTGATATCATCATTACACATAAGGTGAAGGTGATAAACACACTTTAGCTATTGTATCGCAATACATAAAGATAACACAAGCGAAAAAGCAAGAGGATAAAATTGAGGATACTAAAAGTTCGGGTGACAGACTACTTAGTAACATATTATGCGTCAAGAGGGAGATCGAGGTTGGAGGAGGAAGATAAGCGAGATGGGGAGGGACAAAGAAACTCGCAGCATGAATGCCATTGAGGTCGGCTCTTTGCCATGTCAACTAATGTGTCCAACCAAACGTGTTCATCGTCCATCGGACCCCAGCCAGGTAGTCGGGACACACCAACTGACGCCAAGTTCGAAGTGAGGGGTTTCATTCCTCTTGACCAAATCATCGCTAGGCCACCCCTCCCGTTCTTCTATCCAGTCCCTAGGCCCGCAAACAATGCACTTCGCGAGACTCGGGGGCTGGCATGCGCAACACGTTTTCTAGTCATCGGAGCCTGGTGCGTCATATAACGGTGCTAAGCGGTACACTCACTCTTCCTGCACCAAATACACGACGACGGTGCACTTACCAGACATGAGCTAAGCTGCGAAGGCAGTGATAATATACTGATAGTTGCGCCACTGGTCTCTGTTCCAGTCAGAACACCTCAGATCATAAGCTGAAGGCTTCAACAAAGCGAAGATACTGCTACCCATTCATCAGGCCAAAGAAGTCGGCATGTATGCTCTGCCACGGCTTCGGTCGGTCGCCGAAATGATTACATGCCTGTCTTGTAACCCGGATGTCACTGATTCGAGTTCACGTAGGTGTGGATTACCTCGCGTTTTTCTAATTTATTCAAGCTCCGAGTCGATATTGACCAGGGAACGAACCTCCGCGCATTTTCATCTTGTTAATACTTGACCTCGATGGAACTGCTGTGGAATCCTGAAGCGAAGCTTCCTCGTGGCCGATGACGTTCGGCCAGCGAAAGCATCTGTTGGCGATTGCGAGTTTGCCTCTCCTTTGGAATAGCTCATGGAGTTCAACCTTCAGTTTATCATTCGGACACTGCGTAGTGTGATGTTTGATAACTTCGGGAAATATTGGATCTAGGAGTAGTCCAACTCTTTCTAAAACTCTCCATCAGTACTCGGTTCGCATTCGATTCCAAGGAAATCGCTGCTGATTTTCTAGTAATCGAGGTTGTGCATCAGCTTGCCTAATATTCTTCGTAGAAATGTGCTCCACCACGAAATGACAACCGAGTAATGTGGTGGCTCAACACTGCGGCATGTTCACTAACAATTGCTTATGGTCAATAAGAAATGCGAAAATTCTTCTACACAGTATTTTTGAGACACTAATTATCGTGAATACTATCACCAATGCTTCCTCCTCTATTTTACCCTACCTTCATTCTATATGCGACATCGATCGTTGCTGACTTTGTGTGTCGAACTAAGCTAAACGCCACCCAAAGCATGGTTGAGTTGTACCGCACGCCACGATGCCGCAGCTACGTTTGGGTTAAGGAGTCATTTGGTACCCCATATATAGGTGTCACCGCAGTGGCAGCTGAACTGGGAAATACCATGGGTGCCGAACTTTCTGGCAATGTCAAACGCATTCTTTCATGACAAATTTGAGGTAATTCCCATGGGCAACTAGCTCACCGACCTCATTCATCATTGATCACTGGCGGGCCAGTACGTCATGATACCGTCGAATTGCAGACTGCGATTTCAACTTAAAGATACGTGGTCTAAATGTCAGGCGCTTCTTTGAAGCAGGAAGGGCGAGTGCCAGGAGTGCACGCACTAGAACATGGTCGGAATCCAGACATACTCCAAATTGTCCGACAGTCTTGAACTGAGTTGCGCCATCTGTGGCCTACAACAATATGGTCGATTTGGGTCCAGGTCATCGAGGAGTTCGGTAGGCACATGTGACACGATATGACGTTAGCGCTTGATAGCAGTGCTGCCAATATACAGATTGTGGTCAGAACATAGTTGTAGGAATCGATCGCCATTACCTGTTAGGCGTGCATGCACTCCGAAATAGCCTTTCAGGTGTTGTCCAGAGTCCGAAAGGCGAGGCACTTGGATATCCATGCCACCAACAACAATCACAGTCTCAGTAATTCTTACTGACAATAGAAGTCGTCCTTCATGCCCTCCGAACTGCAGTCACTGGGGGGTATTAACAGAAACACTGAAAAAGCACCTTGTCTTCAGACAGTTCTTATTGACCTCAATAGCATTCCGAAGTCGAACAGCACACATACGGCTGTTCACTGGCATCCAGTCGAGTAGACTGCATTCTGCATGATTGCTGAGGGCGATACCGACACCATAATAACCTTGGACTATTGACTTAGTATCGCCAGAGACGCGGAGAGTGTAGTCGTCGTCAGCAGATTCAGAACCAGGAACTCGAAGATTCGTCACGACGCGGTTATCTTCTCTCTGTGTTTCGGAGACAGCACCAACAAATACCAAGAGAGTGGATAGTGAGGGTTAGTGCTGCTGTTGGCTGATCTGCAAAAGTGCGTGGACGTCAAGCGAACCATTGAGAAATGCAAATCTTGGTTTGATTGCTTCATTTGCGAGGTCATTGGCAGTCCCTTGCACAATAGACAAAGGAGAAGAGAGTGGAAATGGTAGAGGAGAAGTGTTGGCGACGGGGTCGAGAAGGCAGATGATATTCTCCGGCTGCCCATTTCGGAAGGGGATTTTGTTTGTGGTCCCATACCCCTGGACTTCCACTCAATAGTCTGACCCATAACACAGGGAGGTATTTGGAGGTTCAATTGAGTCGCTCCACCCGGAGCCTTTGGATCAACAGCCTGAACCAGAAGGTAATGGGGAGCAAGACCAACTGGAGAGGGTGATTGTCGTGTCTCACTGGGATCTACTTGAGGCCTGTCTGTGGCAGCCCTTGAGAATCTAGGGGAATTCATGTTTTTTTCGGCAGTAGTATCTTACGCACTTAGCGGTAGGGCGTATGGTGCGCTGAGACTTGTGCTGGCTAGATCCTTACAGATGGTCTACCCACCGCTCCTACTGTTGTGCCATGGGCTCATGTCCTGGACGCCTCGTGGCGACCACTGGGTGGAGGTTGGGTTACGCCCCTCTCCTTGCTAAGAGCCAGAACACCAATTCGCATATGTCAGTGAACTGACCTTGTGTTAGCCCCGCTACCTGACGACCACGACCACTCGGTTTATACTGAATGCAAGTGATATAGCAAATTGGACGCACCCACTGACTGGTCACGCTCACCCGCTCGGCTAGGTCATCGTACGTCAGCATGACATACGTGAAGTGCCCATAACACATTTACTGCTTGGAGCGAGTGTCGAACTGATCACAATTCGCTGCGGACCAAATGGTACATATATTTCCGTAAATCAACTTATTGCACTCCTGCCAAGGACCGGCGTAAATTTAACATTCTCTCGGTAC